CCCAATAAAATTCGAACTCAGCTCTCCGATTCCTCAATCCAAGCCGCTATCAATTACTCCACCGTGCCTCATATATATATATATATATATATATATATATATATATATATATATATATATATATATATATATATATATATATATATATATATATATATATATATATATATATATATATATATATATATATATATATATATATATATATATATATATATATATATATATATATATATATATATATATATATATATATATATATGTGTGTGTGTGTGTGTGTGTGTGAAAATATATAGAAAATAGGAAGGAACTGGTTAGGTAAATAATCCAAAGTCCCTTAGCATTTTAGTTATTATTTTTAAAAAATAGTGCTCGATACAAAAGTAGAGCATAAATATAATTATTTATTTAAAAATTTGAATTATTAGATAAAAAATTTATATAACTTGTTTAACAAATAGCCCAATCATCAGATTCATAGTAGGAATAATTAACTACAAACATGCATACAACATAACACCCTTCATAATCCATAGCCCAAAGTAGTAGTTTAAATACCTTACATAAAAGATAACCCTTTATGAAGTCGTCAAAAACAAACGTTACGAAAGTTTTTTTTTTTTTTATATGTACAATTCCTTTCATAATAAAAATAAAATAAAATAAAATAAATAAATAAATCTCCATAGACAAGCAAACTAGACGATGGCCAATACATCTTCCGTTTTCATTTTGACACCCCACCTTTATCCGACTTGACACCTTGAAAGTATCTCTATACCGCTACTTATTATAAACACCCTACACTCGCCTACCCAATTTAGACAATTCACCCTAGCTGTTACCATGGGGATTTTGATTTCAATTTTAAAACAAGTAAATTTCAGATACGTTATTCCAACAAAAATTTGGCTTGAAGATGGAACGAAGCCCATTTTACTTTCAACTCAATTTAATTTAAAGGATTATATTGAAGTTTTCGGCTCTTGTTTTGAAACATGAGACCTCTTATGTAGCGATTTGGAATCATATTTTTAAATAAATAATTATATATATATATATATATATATATATATATATATAAAGCTTCCATGTTTCAATAATATGATTGTAAATCTTCAGGTAATTAACTAGTAATTAAATGTCATTTTTAAGAAAATTTAAAAAAAAATTGTTACCTCTTTTCCAAATGTCAAAGAGTGGTGGGCATGAGGCCAGAATTAAAAATAGACTTGTGGGTATGTCTTGGTTAACCAATTAATTGTTAGATCTACGTTAAATAGAAAAGTAAGCTCCGTGGGTGGAGATGGGTGAGTTATTTTTCTCTCATTTGTATATATATATATATATATATATATATATATATATATGAGATGTGAAACAGTCTCTCTGTGGATGACATTATATTATATATATATATATATATATATATATATATATATATATATATCATACAGAGGGTAAAGTTGTGTTAGTTTACTTTCTATCCTTTGGATATATATATATATATATATATATATATATATATATATATATATAATCTCCGTCGGTTTTGACGTATGAGGATCTGCCAGCTTATTGATTCAGTTATGAAAGTTTGTGCATTTAAGACCGGCTTATGATTTACAAAGGAGGCCACATATGGAGCAAGAGTGGGAATTTGTGAAATGAGAGCACTGTTAGATTCGCTAACACACACACACACACATATATATATATATGCATATACAAATAAAAATACACACATATTTATATTTATATATATCACACAGTAACGCATATAAATTCAGCACTTTCGTACCATTTTAACTAATATTTCAGTGTATACATACATACATACACACACACACACACACACACACACACACACACACACACATATATATATATATATATATATATATATATATAGAGAGAGAGAGAGAGAGAGAGAGAGAGCGAAGAGTTTGGTTTACCATAATAAATGTGGGTTTTTCAATAATACAATAATTTAGTATTAAGACATAAATATAAGCGATGCAATTCAAAAGAAGAGAAAAAAAAAACAGGGATCCCCATTGGAAAATTCGTAAACTTAAGGAATCAGCACATATGCTAGACCAGAAAAATCTCCTGAGCTGACCAAGCATAGAAATAAATACAATATGGGAACCAGTAATAAGGAGTGCTAGAGAAAAGCAATAATAACAAAAAAGTTGCAATATGAGCTCTGGTAAAAATATGCAATGATGACAGCAAGAATTGCAATATGAGCACTGGTAAAAATAGTTGCCGTAGACATTAGATTTATAATACTCAGAAATTCATACACTGATGTCCACAAGGCACAGTGGATAAAGCCGTTAGTTAGATCCTGTGACAGGACCCAAACAGTGTGAGTTCAATACCCGGTTAAGGCAGTGGAGAACTTTGAGAGGGGAATTAACAGGAGATAACTGATAACTGACATCCATTAAACATGGCACGTGGAACTGGAACAGTCTACCGCAGTGAGTGAAATAAAGGGTTCAGTTCGACATTCCAAACACCTGAAGAAGGCCGGAGCGTACAACGGCCGAAACGTTGTGATAAATATGACGACAAAGATGAGAACAATAGTCCGAATAATGTCAATAATGTCCATAATACCTCATCTCAGAAATATAGACAGATACAGAAAAAAAAGCAAGAGTTTGGGGGTTACTTCGCAGTTAGGGTAGAAATTCTTATAAATAGAGCAGGAAAGTAATAGGTTTCAGATATTTCTGGTAATATCTGATAAAAATTTAGCCATTGAATTATTTTAGAGGAATTGGATTATTATTGAAGAGTTCTTTTTAATGTGTTTCCTTGGTAATGTTTTATTCGAATTGGATTTAGAGGGAAAATTCACAAGGAAGTGTATTGTTCTTAACATACAAAGCAGATAGTTGCTTCTCAGTTGGTGATTATTTGTCAGCTGAGCCTGACTAACGCAGATTCTGGCCAACACAACCTCCCACTTATCATTTTATGTATCCTGGTTTCCACACACACACACACACACACACACACACACACACACACATATATATATATATATATATATATATATATATATATATATATATATATGTAAGCAAATATATGGATATAGATCCGACAATATGAATGAAAAAATACGGAAAAAACAAAACAAAAATCCTAATATGCAATTATGTTGTTTTAATGTTAATATAATGTAACGTCAGACGTTTCGGTCTAATAGACCATCTTCAGGACATATTCATAAAACATAATGTTGAGTTGAATATTGTCTATGTTAATTATATTTTTCTTCACATATATATATATATTAAGTCATTTTTATGTTTATACATTCATAGATACAAATATTTAAGTAAATGCTCTGTTTCATAATAAAATGTATTATTAATATTTACCGGCCTGAATGACGGTTCCGTATAGGATACAGGTTCGATTCCTGTCGGAGGACGAATATTTTCTATGAAAATTTCTCGGACATTCAGGTCGGTAAATGTTGTTTAATATTGTTTATTATAAAACAGAGCATTTACTTAAATATTTGTATCTATAAAAAGAATGTATAAACATAAAAATGTCTTAAAATAATTGTCAGACTTTGTCTATTTCTTAATATATATATATATATATATATATATATATATATATAAGTTATGTGCGATGCGTAATATACGTTTAGGCGATCATGTATCTTTCGATACATGACTGACGAGGCATATATTTTTTCACGCAGTAGGTTGCCATTTCTTTCTACGGTAGATCAGTTGCCATCCAAGACTAAAGAACCCAGTTTTTCCTGCTATTTACCCATAGCAGGGGGGAGAACAAGAGGATTCATATTAGCTCGTAAGTGAATGTAATGGATTCGACTGGAATTCGAACTCGGCTCTCCGATTCCTCAATTCGATCCGCTATCCATTACTCCACCCCTCTCTCTCTTTCGCTCTTTCTCTCTCTCTCTCTCTCTCTCTCTCTCTTTCGATAGATAGATAGATAGATAGATAGATAGATAGATAGATAGATAGATAGATAGATAGATAGATTAAAAAAAAGAAGTAAAACGCAATAAAATGTCCGGTATTATTTAGCGACTACTTTAATAATTCGGCATATCAACTCCTCTATGGGTTCTTTAACGCCTAAATCTTACGTATTTTTGGTATGTTTATGCTTTGAAAGTGTTTTTTTTCTTAGCGGTTCAATCTTTATCCTAACAGGTACTACCACCCCTAAATAATCTAGTATCAACAATAAGTTTAGAAAATAAAGAATTAAGTATAAGTTTTTCAAATCGTGAGACACTGTACATTATTGAATTAAAATTTGGACAATGGGTTCTGTTTTAATTGCCATATCTCTTCAGGGCGTAGGCGATCATGACTCCCCACACATTCTGTGCATTAACGTGGCTCCTTAGGAAAGATAAGGGAGAGGTCTCCTTTTGTCTTTTCTTTGTTATTTAACCCATAGCTGTGGAGGGGCTAGATTAGCCACTCAAAAACATCGTCATTACTGTCTATTTTGTTGTCCAAATGTGACGTCATGTCGGAAGTCCTGTTGCACGATTTTCAGCATCCTGTTGTTTCAGGATGATTCCATTCTGGTCAAGCAGGTTACCAATTCCAGTGAGTGAAGAATGATAACCCCCCCCCCAACCGTAAGTGTTTTAAAAGCTTCAAATTCCGTTCACAAATGAAAAACAACCTCATCTTATACAAGAATCCAAATTTTTGTTTCATCTTATCAAAGTGATGAGAAAGGATCTGAATCCTTGCCAAAATGACACTTAGGCAAAAACACTATCAGCTGACAGATTCCACGATTGGAGCGCTGAAGTCTTACTTGACACCCAGATAAAGGTGTGAGAGAAAGCGATGGGGAGAGAGAGAGAGAGAGAGAGAGAGAGAGAGAGAGAGAGAGGGCATATATAGATAGGTAGATATGAATAGTTGTATGTACAGAAATATCGTGATAGGTAGTTATGAAATTATAATTATTTATATAAAATAATTACGAAATAGATAGATAGATAGATAGATAGATAGATAGATAGATAGATAGATAATTTTCAACCTTAGATAAATAAATATATACATATATACATAATGAACAGCTTTAGTTAGATAGCTAGACAATGAATAATTTTAGATAAATAAATACGTACATACATATATGTATCAATAGCCTTAGATAAATATTACATGCCTTAGATAAATATTACAAGACTGTAATAGATAGATAGATAGATAGATAGATAGATAGGATAGAAACTGGGAGACAGGAAAACAGACAGACAGACAAACACATAGATAGATAGATAGATAGATAGATAGATAGATAGATAGATAGATAGATAGATACGAACAGTCTGAAATAGATAGATAGATAGATAGATAGATACAAACAGACTGAAATAGATAGATAGATAGATAGATAGATAGGATAGAAACTGGGAGAAAGGAAAGCAGACAGACAGACAGACAGACAGACAGACAGATAGATAGATAGATAGATAGATAGATAGATAGATACGAACAGACTGAAATCGATAGATACGAACTGAGATAGATAGATAGATAGATAGATAGATAGATAGATAGATAGATAGATAGATAGATACGAACAGACTGAAATAGATAGATAGATAGATAGATAGATAGATAGATAGATAGAAACTGGGAGACAGACAAACAGATAGATAGATAGATAGAAATTACAGATTGCCTTTGACTTGACTTCTGTCTACTAACAATCGCTCTCTCCTGCCAATAGGGACATTTTTCTATGGCAAAATCATTACCAATTCAATTCTATAAGAAAACCCTAACCACTGACCACACATTACACATATATGTTTTTTTCTATAGGCAAACACGCGACTAAAACCGCAACGTGTACGCATTAATGTCTTTGTGTGTAGCAGAGCAAAATTTTGTTTCCACCTAAAGTAACAGAAGTACCAAGTACCAATTGCGAAGAATCTCTCCGTATATATTCAGTCAGTATTTTTATTAGACATCATATTTATTATTTTATTAACTTCTATTATCTGAGGTCATAACACAACTTCATCGCGTGCGTTGTATGCGCGCATGCGCATGTGAAATTAATGTGAGCTCCGTTTGAAGATCAATCCATTGAGCCAAATAAATAAGGTTATTCTGAAAAATATTTGTCAAGGATGGAAGATTGGGCAGCGCCAGCCCCGTTATACCAGCAATTGGCCGTTTTTGGTGTGAATCTGATAGCATCATCATCATCCACTTGACTTTTGTACTCGTAGAGCGAGTCCGAATGCAGAAGCCACAGTAACCCTTTTCCACAACAGTCTATCAACGGCAGCCATCAGCAATTCTGGTACACTCATACCTGTCCATTCTCTGCCATTGTCCAACCATTTTTTTGCGTTGGCGTCCTCTCCTACGTCCACCTTCAATGGTGCCTTGCATGATGGTCTTTCAAAGGATGTTGTGCCTTGTAATGTGTTCAAACTACGCAATTTTTCTTCGTTTTGGTCAGAAGATGTTCCTGGTAGCCCACAGAACTTTCAACCCTTTTCCACACGGACCTATTGATTTTATGTTCAATATGTCGTTAGTTAGGGAATTTTCAAATATGCTCATATACAATAATTATTCCCCAGTAAATTTTCTCCAATTTTTTACAAGTGGACCCATCTATTTATGTAGTTCCGCATTGATAACGTTTCACCCTAGCGGTCAGTCTTGTGTATCATTTAGCTATCAGATTTTCTTTTTACAACTTATCCAGTAGAAGTGTATAATACTATAAATTGTTTCAAATAAGATAAATGCCAATATACTAAAGCATTTTAACCCGATCGAAATTTAAGTTTAATTCCGTAATTCTTTCTCTGCCAAAACGTTTAGGGAGTCAGGGAATTTGATTGCGATGTGGGAGGGGGAGATGCTAATGAAAACAACATAGCTATTGGAACTTCTTCGGCAAGAAAAAATATTAAAACATTACTAATTCTGAATTTTCGTTTTTTATCTATTTTTTAAAATGTTCACCCAATTCAAGCCTCAAGAGCTCTTCAATATAGAGCGTTATTAATTGAAGTTATGTCTAGACGTTGGAGATATTTGATTTATTTGTTTAGCGGCATAGCAACTCATTTTTATGCCGAAATTAATTGTTTTTTTTTTGTTTTGTTTCCAATAGAAGATGTCAAAGAGTTTTCTCATGGATTTGTTTCTCAAACGCTTGGAACCTTCTCTCTGTATCTGCCAACAGTGTCCACGTTTCACATCCATATAGGTTAGCGGAGACAACCAGTGATTTGTACAGTCTGTAATTTGTTTGAAAGATGATTTTGCTCCTCCATATTCTTGTCAATTTGGCCATCGCTGCCATTGTTGCAGCAATCCGAGTTTGCAGGTACCATCTTTGGACAAATAGTTATGAATAATTCCAGGAAAAAAATCTATAAAGTGTATGGTCTGTACGTAGAAAGGTCGAAAGCATGGGACACCGAGTAAGGATCGAACTCACTATTCCGTCGTAATTGTTCTAGCGAGACAAGTTTGCTAACCATTACACCGCCACGAGGTGCCATTTTTCTAAGCGTAGCTTAGATGTGGCACAAGGCCGAAATAAAGGGGGCACCTAGTGAAGATCGAACTCACTACTCCGTCGTAATTGTTCTAGCGAGACAAGTTTGCTAACCATTACACGGCCTCGAGGTGCCCAAGGATAATTTTCCAAGCGTAGCATAGATGTGGCACAAGGCCTAAAGTATGGGCCACACAGTGAGGATCGAACTCACTATTCAGTCGTAATTGTTCTGGCGAGACAAGCTAGTTATTACATCAAGCCGAGGTTCCCCTGCCTCAGGTGTTATGTTTCTATGAGAATTCAACAAAATGGCTTTTTTTTTTAAAAAAAAACAAAAAACAAAACAAAACAAAAACATTATTAAAAGAAAGTCCCCACCTACAGTACAGCACGCGACCAATAAAAAAAAAGAAAAGGTGTTTGTGAGGCCATGGCTGACATCTTTGTGATCAAGAGATAGTCGGGGTTGCAGAAACATGCCGATGCCATTAGTGCCATCGTACAAAAAAACAAACAAAAAAAACAAAACAAAAAAAAACGAGATAGATGGAATAACCCGGATGTACTATCTATTGATTATTAGCTGATTTGCGATCGAACGCATAGAAAGTCAGTACTGATGAGTGGGGAGGCGAGGAGAAATCCGTCAACCGCAGCAGCGGATTGGCGACTATTTGAACGTGGGAGTTTGTGACACTTTGGCCGACATTATAAACTGTCCTTTGTATAATCAACATACCTCGCGACTACTACTCATTTGGATCCCTACAAATTTCAATTCTCTGTAAGCCTGTAAAAATCATTTATGTTGAATATCGATTGAGGAAAGACCTTTGGCCTTACTTCCGCTGCATCAGTGTGTGAGCAGAAATCGGAACTGGTGATAGCATAAACGAGAAATGCATCCGGTGGCTAAAATAAACCATAAGCCATGGGAAGTTGCGTAGGTGTCCAAACGTTATTTAACCGGTCCAATTCTTGATCTGGACAGAGAAGCTGGCTAGAAGTTCACTGAATATTATTTGTCCCCGTCAATTCCTTTGTACAAAATCTTAACCTCTTTGATTCTCCATACTCTAACTATTCGCCGCAACTCGAACAATATATACATGCATACATATATATATATATATATATATATATATATATATATATATATTGAGGGATAGTAATAAGTTGATGTAAGGTGATATAGAGAGTGGTGAGAGATAGTGTGACAGACATGGTCGGAATTAGAGAGGAAGGGAAAGATAGGAATGCTTTTAAATTTATTTTTATTACAATACTTAATACATAAATACACACACACGTACACGCATATATATATATATATATATATATATATATATATATATATATATATATATATATATATATATATATAATAAAAACTTAAACACTAATACTCCATGGTCATAATTTATTCCATTGGAATCGTAAATACGATCCAATTCATCAAACCTACAAATTCAAAAAGAAAACGAATTGGATCGTATTTACGATTCCAATGGAATAAATTATGACCATGGAGTATTAGTGTTTAAGCCTTATTATTATATCCTTACTCTGTCCTAGACATTGAGTTCTACCTGGATTCTTCCTCTTGGAATTTTTTTCTGAAAATATACATGTTTTGGTATTTATATATTTTGCATATGTATGTATATTTTCCACTAATATTTAATAATATATATATATATATATATATATATATATATATATATATATATATATATATATATATATATATATTCGTCGTCTCATTTGAGTCCAGCAGCAATATACATCGCTTACGTCACCAAGATGCCATGTACTGTGAAGATGGAATTATGAAGCAGCTTCCAGGCTATCGCAAAGTGGTGGAACACAATGGTACAGATGTGTTTGAATAAATTTACAAGTATCTAAATATTACCTTTGAAATACACTTGAAAAAAAAAAAAGAAAAAAAGTACTAGCTTTTGTTCCAGCCGAATACATATATTTTTATTATGCATGTACATTTTCATTTACATATGCCCTGTCTACAGGGGTTAGAATTGCAGAGATGTAAAACCAAACAAAAACGAATGCAATTTTGGATTGGATACTTGCTGACTCATTAACAAAACATGACTAATGTCTATTTTACTAGTATATACCAGACATATGTGGGCACCTCGAAGTGGTGTAATGGCTAGCAAGCTTGTCTCGCTAGAACAATTACGACTGAGTAGTGAGTTCGTTCCTCACTGGGTGCTCCTACTTCCGGCCTTGTGCCACATCTAATCAGCCCTTAGAAAATCCCTATACCAGACATATGTCTACATACTCGAGTCTAGTGTAAATCGGACATACATCTATTTTTGGATATAGTAAAAACAGCCAGCATGTACACCAATCTCGACATTAACATTTCTAAAGTTTTCTCTGTTACTCCCAGCTGCCTCGTTCCTGTTTAGGATTTTGTTTCCGGTTCTTTCTGAAGTTTTCTCTGTTACTCTCAGCAGCCTCGTTCCTGTTTAGGATTTTGTTTCCGGTTTTTTCTAAAGTTTTCTCTGTTACTCCCAGCAGCCTCGTTCCTGTTTAGGATTTTGTTTCCGGTTTTTTCTAAAGTTTTCTCTGTTACTCCCAGCAGCCTCGTTCCTGTTTAGGATTTTGTTTCCGGTTCTTTCTAAAGTTTTCTCTGTTACTCCCAGCAGCCTCGTTTCTGTTTAGGATTTTTTTCGGTTCTTTCTAAAGTTTTCTCTGTTAATCCCAGCAGCCTCGTTCCTGTTTAGGATTTTGTTTCCGGTTCTTTTTAAAGTTTTCTCTGTTACTCCCAGCAGCCTCGTTTCTGCTTAGGATTTTTTTTCCGGTTCTTTCTAAAGTTTTCTCTGTTACTCCCAGCAGCCTCGTTCCTGTTTAGGATTTTGTTTCCGGTTCTTTCTAAAGTTTTCTCTGTTACTCCCAGCAGCCTCGTTCCTGTTTAGGATTTTGTTTCCGGTTTTTTCTAAAGTTTTCTCTGTTAGTCCCAGCAGCCTCGTTCCTGCTTAGGATTTTGTTTCCGGTTCTTTCTAAAGTTTTCTCTGTTACTCCCAGCAGCCTCGTTCCTGTTTAGGATTTTGTTTCGGTTCTTTCTAAAGTTTTCTCTGTTACTCCCAGCAGCCTCGTTCCTGTTTGGGATTTTTGTTTCCGGTTTTTCTAAAGTTTTTCTCTGATTTCGTTCCTGCTTAGGATTTTGTTTCGGTTTTTTCTAAAGTTTTTCTCTGTTAGTCCCAGCAGCCTCGTTCCTGCTTAGGATTTTGTTTCAGTTCTTTCTAAAGTTTCTCTGTTTTAGCAGCCTCGTTCCTGTTTAGGATTTTGTTTCGGTTCTTTCTAAAGTTTTTCTGTTACTCCCAGCAGCCTCGTTCCTGTTTAGGATTTTGTTTCGGTTTTTCTAAAGTTTTCTCTGTTAGTCCCAGCAGCCTCGTTCCTGCTTAGGATTTTGTTTCGGTTTTTTCTAAAGTTTTCTCTGTTAGTCCCAGCAGCCTCGTTCCTGCTTAGGATTTTTTGTTTCGGTTCTTTCTAAAGTTTTCTCTGTTAGTCCCAGCAGCCTCGTTCCTGTTTAGGATTTTGTTTCGGTTCTTTCTAAAGTTTTTTCTCTGTTACTCCCAGCAGCCTCGTTCCTGTTTAGGATTTTGTTTCGGTTTTTTCTAAAGTTTTCTCTGTTAGTCCCAGCAGCCTCGTTCCTGCTTAGGATTTTGTTTCCGGTTCTTTCTAAAGTTTTCTCTGTTAGTCCCAGCAGCCTCGTTCCTGTTTAGGATTTTGTTTCCGGTTCTTTCTAAAGTTTTCTCTGTTAGTCTCAGCTGCAACGTCGAGTCGGTTCAGTACCTAAATCGGCGACGAATACCAGGTACCCTAATCTTGGCTGTACGTGCGATGTAATGGCTATCGGATAAGAATTTCTAATTGGAGGGCCAAGTTCCAGTTCCACTTGGCTTCGTTATATTAATTTACGCTCAAATACCCCTGAGAAATGTATGAATCCGCCTTTTCTCCCTCCAGCTATGGGTTAATTAGTAAGACTTGTATCACTAAACCATTATCATCTCCAATATACCAAAAGAATTCTTACGATCTAAAAAATATTTTCTGTCCTTAAATAACCTTAAAGGGTTGATAAGCCGTAAAAAATGAATGAATGAATTAACCAATTTATCAATCAATCAAAACCGGGACCTTCGTGACCAAAGAAAGTTTTAATGAAAAAAGAGCTCAATGTATTTATTATTACAGAGAAAAAATTAATACCCAATAACATACAAAATCAACTCATATGGTGAATAAGCTTATTTCGACAGACGAAAATATAATCCATCTGAAAATTCTAAGTAACTCTATCACCTACCATCTTGGATAAATATTATATTTTCGTGTGTCGAATTAAGCTTATTCTCCATATAGTTTCAAGGTGTGCTATATTTATGAGATAAAGTGTTCAATATCAGAGAAAGAGCGTATGTAAATATAAATATAAAAGTGAACATTGAAGTTGACACTCAGAGATGACAGGCTGTTTCATGCTAATTTACGCAAAGATGAAAATAACACTAACATCTCATTTTAACAGACATATTTACCAACATTCCAAAAAAATGAATTGAAATACGAAAGAATAAATCGTCATTGGGTTCAACTACAGCGTCCAAACGACTTCGGAATATCCTGCAACTCTTTAAGACAGTTTCCTTGTTTAAATTGGAGAACGCCATAATCCTTGTCTTGATATATATATATATATATATATATATATATATATATATATATATATATATAAAAGTGTTTTTACTTAACTGATTGATGTTATATTCAGCATCCTAATACCAGAGTTTCGTAGATGGACTCCCAGGATATATATATATATATATATATATATATATATATATATATATAAATTCCCAAGAGGATAGAATTCAGGTTGAACTCAATGTCCAGGACAGAGTAAGAACATAATATAAAAGGCTAAAACACTTATATTCCATGGTTATAATTTATTACATTGGAATCGTAAACACGACCCAATACATCAGACCTAGAAAAATATATATATAAATTATATAAAATATATATATATATATATATATATATATATATATAATTCCACCTGTTTAAAAACAGCGACATGTACTCAATCACGGTTTTCAGACACTATACATTCAGGACGGTAAATGTTGTTAATACTGTTTATTATAAAACTGAGCATTTACTTAAATATTTGTATCTATAAAAAGAACGTATAAACATAAAAAATATCTTAAAATAATTGTCGGGCTATGTCCATTTCATAATGTGTGGCGTCATTTGTTTACATTTGAATAGTTGTGAGCAGATATGAATGAATGAAAAAAAATCATGGAGAATTGTGTTTAAAAACAGTAAAATCGACCACGCGAACCGGGCGTTCATCTGTAGCTCAATCGGTTCAGCCACGTCAGGCTATGACGGTACCGTATAGGATACAGGTTCGATACCTGTCGGAGAACGCATATCTTCTATTAAAATTCCTCGGACGTTCAGGCCGGTAGATGTTGTTAATATTGTTTATTATGGACAGAGCATTTACTTAAATATTTGTATCTATAAAAAGAACGTATAAACATAAAAAAATTCTTAATATATTCTGTGACAATATTTTGGTTTGGTATATATATACCAAAACCAAAATATTATCACGGTGTGTGTGTGTGGTGTGTGTGTGTGTGTGTATATATATATATATATATATATATATATATAT